ATGATCAGCAGGAAAATGGAGAGAGGATTTTCTTGCTGATCCTTTCTTGGGGAGCCCTGCATAGATGCTCATCCAAAAATGCATTGCACTGGGAGGCCTCTAGTGGTTACATTGAGTTGCATAGCTTGCTCCAGTGAGAAGGGTGCAGGCCGGGGGCTTGGCAGCCAGGGAAGATGGGGTTTTGTGGTACAAAGAAAGATCACCCCCTCCTTCTGCCATCCTGCTGCAGGACCACCACAGAGCTCACACAGGGCAATGAGACTGCTGGCAAAGGGGGCCCTGGCAGGCTAGTACTTGGGGAGGTGTTCTGGATGCCTCACGCCAGACAGGAGCAGTCTGGCAGGGCTGCTGAGAGCAGTGTAAATTAATTTGCTTGCTTCACTGTTCTTCGGAGGACAATCTGGCAGATATAATGACCAAGCCATTGGGTGAGATGCACCATGGGAAGAATATTGAGTTATTCAGTTTTATATCTATTCTAATCATAAAGGGAGGCATGTTCAGTATATAAGAAATTATGAGCTGGGATAGCCATAACAACAAATCAACTAATAGGAACTGTTTGATGACTATGAAACAGCACCTGTTGTGAGTCATGCCAGATGGCTTGGAGACTGGGTGTGGCTTAGGGTAACTGGTCTGTATAAATATAAAGCTTCTGTGACTCTGGTTGTTTGGCTTGCTTCTGCTTCTTGTTCTTGTTCTTGCTACCATGCTGCAAGAGCTGTATGGGTATTGTATACATGCATCATGTTTTATATTATTGTGTATAAACAAGTTTCTTCTATAAATGAATCCTGCTGAATTATTTACTTGTGTCCTGGTTGGATTGCTGCAAACTCTAACAAAAAGCTTTAGGAACATCTGGTATAAACTGTGGAGGAAAAGATACACTGCAGAAATTGGTATATAAATCCATGTTCACTCCAATATTCTTTGTTTTTACTGTTTTCACCATTAAAAATATCTCTGTAATGGGAAAGTTGGAATATCATAGAGAATACAGAAAATATTACCTTGTGGCTTTATTCTTCATAGTTTAATTCATCCTTTATATTCTGTCATTTGGGTTTGGGGCAGTTTCTGTTTTTCTCATCAACATTGGAGAATTTAACCAAATATTTATTAAAATTCTTCAATTGTAATTTTATGGTATCCAGTAATAGCTATTCTCAGTTCAATTTTAACCATGGTAATTTTGTGGAATATATAAAAAAGAATGTTTATTGAATAGAGAGTTAATAGTGAATATATTGACTAGTGAATTAGCTCCAGATTGCACCTTTTTTGTATTAGATAACTGCAACCCCAAAGCAAGAAATGTTGGATTCCTTAAAATGCTTCTTTCTACATTAGTTCCTACAATCATTCCAACCTACAGAAAGAACTGCTTTAAAAATATTGAGAATAAACAGCTAGCCACATTTTTTTCTTCTTAGTATGGATTTTTTAAAATCATATCCTTGATTGTAATGGGAATTGACCTATTGGCTAATTGCCCAAGTCTGCTGTCATGGGCTAAGGGTGACTGGCCCAAAGACAACCCAGCTGCTTCCATGCCTTAAGGGAGGAATAGAACTAATTGCCTGGTTTGTAGCTTTAACCACTAAACCAAACTAGTCTTAAAACAACCAGCCACAATACTGATATTAATTTGAACTTGAATCTATAGTTAATTAAAAACTACTTTATTTTAATAAGTTTTTAAAAATAACAGAGTTGTTTGTAAAACAATATACTGTATGCTGCTGCCATAGGTAGACAATTACACTACAGGCTACTTACCTGTTAAGATCTTGTATTTTTTACAACATAATAACACACTGTTCTGCACAAGCTCTTCAAGGCTGCTTTGTCTTTCTATTTCATTGCTTTTAATGGTGAACAGAAACGTCAGGTGTCAAATAAACTATAAGGTAGAAATGTCCCTGGCTGTAATTAGCAGAAATTGCTGAGGCACCAATTTCCAGGATTCCACCATAGGCCATGCTGATTGAGGTTGCTGAAAATTTATTCAGTTTGTAAAAAATCAGATCCCAATCTCTTCAGTACAAGGTTGCATACCCCTATACTCAATTTGTTTGGCAGAACACATATGAATTCCATTTTCCATCCACTTTGGGGTATCTTAAACAACACCCAATTGAATTAGGATATTATAACATGCTTAACTGCTGGTTTCTCCCCTTCTCCCCCAAATACATTCATTTTTGCCTGCCCAGATTACAGAGTTTGCTATTCTCTCTCCTTTTGACCCAGTTCTCCAGGATCTGAACCGTCTAGTGTTTTGCTGCCATCTACTGTCCTTTACTGTGCTTTTCTTTCTAGGGATTCTGCAGATTCTTTCCCTGGCTCTGCACTAGGGGCAAATGATTCTAAGCAATTTAAACATTTTTATTTTCTCTGTCATTGCCAATAAGCCTCAATTGTGAATTTGACCCAACCCAAAGAAAAGAAATGTTGACATGTATCATTTATCTGCTTCAAGATAAATTCATTTCATAGGCAGAAAAAACACTACCATTTTTTAAAATGTTGCTTATATCTGCTGCTTGCATAGGCCAGATCTATCCTGAATATAGTTACTTTGCTATTCTGCTTGATGTAACTGCTTTGTATTCAATACTGCGTGAATTTCTTCTTGGGATATAACATTAATAATCTATATTCCTGGCCCCTGGTTTGTCATATTGTTGGAAGAAATATTTTTCTGGGTTCAGTTCCAAATGGAGAAGAAAGACACTGGAAACATGGTGACTATTTGGAAAGATGGTTTAATGGTGGATAGGATCACATGCCTTGGGTGAAGAAAGAAGGGCTGAGATGCTGTAAGTGCCTGGGTTTTATACTCTCTGTTGGGATTTGAATTTGAGCTTGTATTCTGATTGGTTGTCAGACTCCCATGGCAACTCTGTAGGCCAGTTGTCCCCAACCGGTGGGCCGTGGCCTATTGGTGGTCCGCAAGAAAATTTTGGTGGTCCACAGACAAATATCATTCCCAGAGCACCCCTCAAAGCAATTAATCCAAGCTGCGCAGGAACACAAGGCTGAGCCACCCACATGGCCTATGGGAACCCTCCCCGCCCACTCACTCCTTACCTGGCAAACTTGCCTGCTAAATTGCTAATTTTTCCTTCCCCCCCCCAAACATCAGCTGTTCTGCTGTGTGGAGAGATTTAGATTAGCTAGAAAGCAGGAAACCACTGGATTTCTTGCTTTCTAGCTAATCTTTAGATCTTCAGCTCTGCTTTTAAGCAGAGCTGAACCTTCCTTAGGACTGAAGCTTCTATTTGTCAGTGCAGACTCAGATAGCCGATGGCAGATAGATAGATCTTTGAATGAATCTGTGATTCTGTGAGCAACTCAATCTGCCTGCCTGCTTTGCCTGATTTTGGGTAAAAGTTGTTCTTTTTTATAAAAAATTCAATATTTACATAAATATTTATAAAATTTACATACAAGCCATGCTCAGCCAGTCACATGGCCACCAAGCCACACCCACAAATTAGGCCACACCCACAAAACCGATTGTTAAGAAATTTGAATCCCACCCCTGCCTCTTTGTTTGTGTGTGTGTGTGAGAGAGAGAGGGAGATGGGGGAAGAGATTAGATCAAATCTCTCTCTCTCTTTCTCTCTCCCACCAACATCAGCAAGCCACCATCTATCAAAATTCACATTAGTGGTCCCCAGGATTTAAAATTGAGTTTGGTGGTTCCTGAGGTCTGAAAGGTTGGTGACCCCTGCTGTAGGCTGTCTTGAGTCCCAGGCTTGGTTGAGCCTTGCTGGATGATGATGTAATGAAAGGGCTTTGAGCAATTCCCATAGGTCTACCTGGAAATCTTTGTTATATAAAATAGGCTGGCCCAGGTCAGAGTAATGGTCCATTAGTAAAGGTGGGGGGGCTGAGTTTCTGCCTCTTTGGTGAGTTTCTGCTTCTGAGTTCCTACTTCTTCATGGGGAAATATTCTGCCTTTTTCATATTTCCTAGAATATTTCATTTTTCTAGGAGAGGGATGGGTGCTAACTTCCTACAATATCATTAACAAGCTCTATATAAGTTTTGAGCTGAGATGTCTTAGAACTAATTCTTTATAAAGTTTTCAAGTTTACTTTGGATGCAATTCCTTGGGTTTGGACAAGACTGGCCACAGGGACCTTGTTGTGCTGCACCCAAGTTTGGAATATGATCCCCTGGATATTCAGATGGGTCCCATCTTGCCTGCCTTTAACCATTCTCTAAATAATTCTTCCTCCAAGGCTTGAGGCTGGGCAAGCCCTTTTAAGCTGGAAGAGTGGAAAGTTGCTTCTGTTCTCTCAGGCAGTTGTTGTTTTATGTGTGGCTCTTTTTTCATGTATTGCTCTCTTAATTTTGTACAGTTAATATCTACTGAAAAATTGTTCCCAGCATATTGTAGACTTCTATTTACCCAGTCTTTCACATACACTGTGCTATTCTAAAGCTAAAGCATTTCATCATTAGAAAAAGAAAATAAATAAATTTATCTATGCACTCTAATGCCAGGGATAATCATTTATGCGCTCATGTAATAGTCCAGTAGCACCATTTGAGGGGCTGAGCTGCCATTATTTGCCCTACCTCCTACACATCTAGCAGTTTGAAAGCTTGCAAATATGTATAGATAAAAAAGTACCACTTCAGTGGGAAGGTAACAGCATTCTGTGTGCCTCAGCATATAGTCATGGCGGCCATATGACCATGGAAGAATCTTCAAACTATACTAGCTTCCTTGGCTAAGAAACAGAGATGAGCACCATTCACCATAATTGGACATGACAGCATAGGGAAAACTCTTATTATTTTTAAAAATCCTTGGTAAAATTGTATTTTGTAGAAGAGTTACTTTCTTTAGAATAGGTATAGTAGAAATTTCCCTTAGCATTCATTTATAAATGCATAGTAGTATTGAAAAATAAACATAGCTATTTTTCATTCTCCCCATTAATATGTATTGAATTATTATTTTACCCACTGTAGATAATTTGATACTGCTTCTGTAGATCATTACAAAGAATTGTATTTTCCATGTATATTAGTAATAAGTGTAAATTATTGTAATGTATCACAATATGTAAAAGAAATAGTAGAATGCAGTGGATTTTCAATAAACATTCTTCATTCTTAATGGATCTTATATTGATAGGCATATAGCTATAAGAAATAGAATAAAAATACATGGCGAGAGAAATAAAAGCAAAAAAAAGAAAAAGAAATCAAAGGAATATAACATTTAAGCTTTATGGTTGAACAAGAATATTTAAAATTTTGCCCTAAAAAAGGAATTCATTATGGGTAGCATAATAAAAAAATTGGGGTGCAACCATCTTAAACCATATTATTAAAGCAAACTCATATTCAAAGCAGGTTAAATGAGACACCAATTTTAAGAACAATTTCAAGATGATGAGATGCAGAGAGGTAAGAAAATGATTTCTGATCCAGCGGTTGTTGGTTCATGGTGAATGTTTCCAACTTTTGTCAGTCATAGCTGGATTGATGCAGGATATATTTTCCATCTTGATTTTTTTAAATTTGGACTCTCCTTAGTGGTCTAGGCCATAAAGAAATCATCTACAGTGCATGAAATATTGGCAGCTGGAATTAAAAGAGGATCATTTCTCTTTGTTTAAAAGACAGACCTTTTCCTTCCCACAGGATCTTTTACTGCAGCCCTTCTTGTCTCCCAGAATCCAAAAATTTGACCAGATGAAGCAGGCTGCTGTACAGTCACCTCAGGAATAGATGAAAACTGCCAGAAGATGGCACTCTATGCCCAGTAAGAATGTTTTTCAGTCACTGAAGTCAGATTACTGGATCTCAGTATACCATTCCATCATGCATGTTTTTCTAAGCTCTTCCCACAGCAGGTGTGTACATTTTGAAGTAGAAAAAGACTCATATAGTAGCATCTAAAAATAGGAGAGGAAAGACTAAAATCAATTTACTGTAATTTTAATGGTAATCGTTACATTTAAGGTTTCCAAAATATCTCAAATAGCAGAACTTTACAGTAGCATAGATGCCTTCCATCAAATCCGGGATAGAGACAAGATAATCAGCCAAATATGAATTTTGCCTGGGTTAAAATCTGGTGAGTGATGAGCCCATAAATATGTGATAGAAAAGTGATATGCTGCACCTGAAATGATTAAATCATTTTTTAAAATAAAAAATTTTAAGAGCACTTGTCCTGGCTCAAAGCAACTGATATGTAAACATACTTTAATTGACCCTTTTACATTATTTTTCTAAGGGCAAATAAATAAACACTTACTGAAATATGGAAAATATTTCCCAACTCTCCATGCCAGATGGGAAATTTGGGATATGATTATCCTGGACAGTCAAAAAAATCTTAACGTAAAGGAGATAAGTGAAGAAACTGCAAATGTTTTGAACAACCAACAAATAAAGTATAAATTGCTTGGCGATATGGTTAATTAGTGAATTCTACCGCCATCAAACATAGAGGGCCTATTTCGGTCTAGTTTCATAAATTTTGTATGTACAAATAAGTTGCAGAATTCTGCACAGAGCAGAAGGAAATAAGAACAAATTTCTTAGGACCAGAACAATTTGCAATAGCACTGCCACAGTATAGTTAGTATAATCATATTTCTGGCTATTCTCTATACAGGCCAAATCATCAGTGAAGATATTTGTAAAATTCCCAAAGAATTTCTTTCTTCATTGAGTATTATTTCAAGAGCAAAACTGGAATAATAGTTAGAATCCAAAGCAGAATTTAAGAAGCCCAGATTCATGTCACACATAATCATCATGGAAGTGGATGGATTTAAATATGTAACAAAATTCAAATCTGAATATGACTTCCTCGCACAGTTGGACACAAGATTCTTCCTAGAATTGTAGTGAGAAAAGAGAATGTCATTTTCTTTTAGCTCAATATTTCCCATTAGATTGTTTTAGGGATAAAATTGAAAGTGAAAATATTGTGCATGCTACTCTTAGCTGCCTGAGCAAAGAACAGGTCATTTGTCATTTCATTTGCTCTATATATCTAACGAGTAAATAAGTGGAACAGATCACTATCTATTTCCCATTGTTCTTCAGATTAAATAATAAACATAAATAGATTATAGTCTGAAAAAATAATATAATGGATCTGTCTGTGGACTAAATAATGCAAGGAAAATGGACAACAAAGAGCTGGTTGGTCAAACTGATTGATCGAGATCTTACCTGATGATTGAGTGTTACAAGAAACTTTGTAAGAGAGCCATATACTTAGGAAGCACATAAATGTAGCTAAGAATCCGAAGACCTATTTTTAAAAAAAGCATCAGCAAAGGAGCCATACATAAAAATACCTTACATTAAGTTTCTATAGATTTTAAATAATATTGAACAGTCTTTGACATTTCAAAGAATGTATTGTAATCGGAGATTAGTAATAAATACCCAAATATACATTTACTGAATGTATTGTCAAATGCATACCTTTTTTGTCCTCCCACTCCCCTGTATTCCAACCAGCAGAAATCTGCTTGCAAATCACTGTTTGCAATTTGTAACAAATGATTTTAAGTACAGTAGTAATTGGAAAGTGAGTTTTGTCCACTATCACCTTTCCAAGACAGATTTTCTTTCTTCCTCCATGTAAAGCATGGGAGAATGTATTTTAGTATAATTGTAATGAATTGTAATGAAAAGACAATGATCAAAAGGGATGGGAGACTCAGCCAATCTCATTGTACACATATTGTACTCTGATAATAAAGGTTGATTTGATTTAATTTGAGAAGACAAGAGATAAATTTATTTCTATTAATCTGTTTCCATTATCTACAATGAGATTGAAATTGAGGGCATGAGAGCCCTGTAATAGGCTGCTCAACAACTAAAGCAAAAAGTTTTACGTCTGTTTTTAAAATGTGTCTAGTATCAATAATTATTTAGCAAGCTGATTCATTAAACATTAAGTTTAGAGTTCAACTTAGCTGTTTTATGAGTATTGCAGGTATTCTGCAATACTGCATACACTCTGGCAATATTAGGTAAAAGACCAAGCCATAAATAACTGTGACTCAGAAATTTTGAAATATTCATGACTTCAGAAACATGTACATTATTGCAGAATCTGGTAACAGAATGGAGTTTTAAAGAATGCCATTATTTAATTTGGGCCAAAATTATAGCCCAATGTAGTATAGTATAAAGCCAGCAATGTGAAAACGATCTATTTGGAATTCTTGTGCAGATTCCACTGAATTTAATATAACTTTCCTCAACCTACAGCATATAACTAGAATAATTGCTTGCTTAGTTATTATAATTTCTGTAAAAGTAACACAATACATTGACTGCACAATTATTAGGCAAGTGAGTATTTTGATCATATCATCATTTGTATGCGTATTTTCCACTACTAAGCTATATAAACTCAAATGTTTAGTGGATATAAGCATATCAAGTGAAGTGTATTTGTGTAATGAGGGAGGGTGTGGTCAAATTAGATCAACACTCTATATCAAGGTGTGCATAATTATTAGGCAGCTTCTTTTCCTTAGGCAAAATGGGCCAAAATTTAACTGACTCTGAAAAGTCAAAAAGTGTAAAAAGTCTTTCAAAAGGATGCACCAGTCTTGAAATTGCTAAGATATTGGAGCATGATCACAGACCCATCAAACCTTTTGTTGCAAATAATCAATGGGGTCACAAGAAATGTGTTGTGAAAAAAGACACACATTAACTGCCAAATATTTGAGACAAATGTGAAGCTACCAGGAATCCATTATCCTACAGTCCTATCATATTCCAGAGCTGCAATCTGCATAGAGTACCCAGAAGTACAAAGTATTCAGAGACAAGGTAAGGAAGGCTGAAACCTGAACACCACTGAACAAGATACATAAGTTGAAATGGCTAGACTGAGCCAAGAAATATTTCAAGACAAATTTTTTAAAGGTTTTATAGGGCAGAGGTTAGAATGCAGAAATGCAGGCTACTTCTGCCAGCTGCCTGAAATTTGGCAGTTCGAATCTCACCACATTCAAGGTTGACTCAGTCTTCCATCCTTCTGAGGTTGGTAAAATGAGGGCCCAGATTGTTGGGGGAAATATGCTGACTCTGTAAATTGCTTAGAGAGGGGTGTAAAGAACTGTGAAGTGGTATATAAGTGCTATTGCTATTAGGGACTGATGAGATGAGAATTGACTCTTGATGGACCAGATGGATGAGCCCCAGGCTGGATCAGTAATGGGTACAGAGCTTCATTTCGACTTAGATGCCAGCAAGGTGAAGATGGGGCACTGGTATAGACTGCTATTATTAAAGATGAGCTAGTTGGATTTTTTTGAGTTGAAGATGGACTATCTGCTTGATCAGTTTCCACCCATTATTCCTTGTCTGGCTTTCAGGTGCTTTGGAAAATAGGCTGACCCCCTCCTCTCTATGGCAGCCCCTCAAATATTGGAACACTGATATCATGTCTACCTGATACTTGTCTTCACTAGACTAGACATATCCAGTTCCTGTAACCATTCTTCATATGTTTTAGTCTCAAATCCCCTAATCATCCTGGCTGCTCTTCTCTGCACTTTTTCTAGAGTCTCAACATCTTTTTTACAGTGCGGTAACCAAAGCGGGATGCAGTATTCTAGGTGTGGTCTTACTAAGGCTTTAGAGAATGGTCTTAGTACTTCATATATCTTGATTAAATCCCTGTTAATGCAATTTAGGATTGCATTGGCTTTTTTGGGCTGCCACTGCACATTGTTGGCTCATACCATATTTAATTGGTTAGCCTCTAACATTCCAACTTCCCTCACAGTTACTGCTATTATGCCTGGTTTCTCCCAATCTATATGTGTATTTTAGTTTCTCTTACCTAAGTGTAAGACTTTACTTTTCTCTACATTGAATTTCATTTTGTTAGTTAGGGCCTAGTGTTCAAGTCTGTATCTATCAAGTATGAATCTATCATCTAGGGTATTTGCTATTTCTGCCAGCTTAATATCATCTGCAAAATTGATATGTTTCCCTTCTATTACCTCATCTAAGTAGTTTATGAAGATATTGAAGAGAACTGGCCTAAGATGGAACCTTGTGGTACCCACTACTTACTTCCCTTCATGTAGACATGAACAGTGATAGCTGAACCCCGAAGCATTATATATGAAATATCATTCAAAACCAGCTCCTTACCGAACCTATGGCCCTTAGTTATGGTCATCCCTATCTTCAGAAAAGGTGACCCCAGCCTGGTTGAAAACTGCAGACCAATCTGCAGTTGTGGTACCCACTACTTCCCTTCGTGTAGACATGAATAGTGATAGCTGAACCCCTAAGCATTATATATGAAATATCATTCAAAACCAGCTCCTTACCAAACCTATGGCCCTTCGTTATGGTCATCCCTATCTTCAGAAAAGGTCATGTGCGAAGTCATGGAATCAATCATTAACCAAGTCATCACCCTCCACTTAGAGTTAAACAAACTACTCTGCAAAAAACAATTTGGTTTCAGGAAAAAATTGTCCTGCAATTTATAATTCCCACACTGCAAAAACATATGAACTACTCTACTTGACCAGAGTAAAACAATAGATGCAATTTACATAGACTTCTGCAAAGCCTTTGATTCAGTGATACATGACAAACTACTGTTAAAACTAAACTCTTATGGTATTTCCGGATCCCTTCATAAGTAGATTGCTACGTTTCTGTCAAACAGACAACAAATAATAAATATAGGGAGCGCTATATCAAACCCTGCTCCAGCTAACAGTGGTGTCCCCCAAGGCAACATTCTAGGATCCACACTCTTTATACTTTATATAAATGACCTTTGCGATCATCTTATAAGCAACTGTGTCCTCTTCACAGATGACATAAAACTATTCAACACCGACAATGCCACTGTCCTTCAAAATGACCTTGATTATGTGTCTGAATGGTCAAACAACTGCCAACTCCAAATCTCAACCAACAAATGCTGTCCTACACATTGGTGAAAAAAATCAGTACACCAAATACAAGCTAGGCAGATATGACTTTGTTGACAATCCTTACTCTGTCAAGGACCTTGGAGTATTCATATCAAATGACCTAAGCATCAGAGCTCACTGGAACAGCATTGCCAAAAAGGCATTAACAGTTGTAAATCTAATCTTACAAAGCTTCTCCTCCAGAAATATTGAATTGCTAACTAGAGCATACAAAACTTTTGCTCGATCAATACTTGAATTAAGCTCATCAGTCTGGAATCCGCACTGTATATCAGACATTAATAAAATTGAGGAAGTCCAGAAATATTTCACAAGAAGAGTGCTACACTCCTCTGCTTGCAACAGAATACCCTATATCACCAGGCTTGAAATTTTGGACTTGGACAACCTTGAACTACGCTGCCTATGGTTGGACTTAAGCATGGTACACAAAATTATCTGCTACAATGTCCCACCAGTCAATGACTACTTCAGCTTCAACCGCAACAATACAAGAGGACATAACAGATACAAACTCAATGTAAACCACTCCAAACTTGATTGCAGAAAGTAGAAACAGAATGGTCAATGCATGGAATGCACTACCTGACTCTGATGTTACATCCTCTAATGACGCCCACTCCTTTAACCTCAAATTATCCACTATTGACCTCACCCCATTCCTAAGAGGTCTGTAAGGGGCGTGCATAAGTGCACAATCGTGCCTAGCATCCCTGTCCTATTGTCCCCATTTATTTATACCTATTTCTTGTATTCTTACTCATGTTTATACTTATACCTATTTTCTTGTAAGCAATTGACAAATCAAATAAATAAATAAATAAATGTACTACCATTAAGGACTGCTCATGGAGTAGTTTCCCAGCTAGTTACAAATCCATTTGATGGTGATGTTATCTATCCCACTTTTTTCTAGCTTACCAAGAGGTAGGTTGTGGTCTAGCTTGTTGAATGCCTTGCTGAAGTTTAAGTATATTATGTCCACAGCATTTCACTGCTTAACTAATTTAATCACTATGTTGAACAATGAAATAAGATTGGTTTGGCATGATCTACTTTTAACAAACCCATGCCAATTTCTAGTTATTACTTCACTCGTTTCTAGATGTTCACAGATCTGTTTTTTTATTAGCTTTTCCAGTATCTTCCCAGGTATAGATGTTAGGCTGATTGGTCTGGGGCTTCCTGGGTCTGTCCATTCCGCCCCCCCCCCTTTTTTTGATGATCAGAACCACATCAGCTCTTTTCCAATCCTCTGCTACAGTAGTTTCCTGGTGCTCCAGGATCTTTGAAAGATATGTTACAGCGGTTGTGAGATGAAATCTGCCAACTTCTTTAAAACTCTTGGATGTAATCCATCAGGTCCTGGTGATTTATATTCATCAAGAACAGACGGGTGTTCTCTTACCATTATTTTGCTAATTTTAATTTTAATTTCTAGTTACAGTTACATTTTTGATCAGTTGGGCTATAGTTTCTTTTTGCATGAAGAACAATGCAAAGAATGAGTTAAGCAGCTCTGCTTTCTCTCTGCTGCCTGTTATTTCCTTGCTGTGTTCTCTCTTTAGTGGATTGACTCATTGATTTTTTTCTTGTTAATTATATATTGAAAGAAACTTTTTAAAAATTATCTTTGATTTTTGTTGCAAGACTTTGTTCATTCTGAGCCTTCGCAGATTCTGACTGTTTGCTGATATTCTACCTTAGATGTATGTCCTTCTTTCCATTTTTTATACTTGTCCTTTTTGTCTGTCAGTTTATCAGAGGATAACTATATTGGTCATTGATTTTTTTTTGAAATATCAGAAATGTTTATTAGTACATTTTGAGTTGTTTATTATTCTCACTTTAACAGATGCCAATAAATAAGTGTGATGGGCAAATTTTTGTTTTTCATTTAGTTGTATAATAATTCTTCACACTAATAGTTACCCAATAATTGTGCACACATAGAGATTCTCCTAAGAAAGCCAAAACTCACTTTCACTTTTTTAAATAATCAGGTTTGAGGTTTATTAACATTTTGGATTGATTAAGAGCACAACTATTATTCAATAATAAAATTAATCCTCCAAAATACAACTTGCCTAATAATTATGTAGTGTAGATTTTGATAATGGAGGGTTATAGCAGTAGTGGGAAAAAGCTATGTTAAATATCTTTGCCAGTATTTTTAAAGATCTAACATACCCAATCCTCAATCAATATGTACACTTGAATATATGGACACTCTTTTCTTTTAGTGTGCTTATTATGGGAAAAAACCCTGAAATGTATATTTAAGGTCTGATAAATAAAGTTGCTTATATATAACAAAAAAATGGCAAACAGCCTCACCGCTCCAGCTACCAGGCCTGCTGAATTGGAGCTTTTTGCAACTGCCACAATTGATGCAATAAGAAGCAGAATAGTACCTATTAGATAATGAAGAAACTCCTAAATGAAACAAAGATAATGTAGTTTAGAAGAAAAGCTACAAAGATCTTGTACTTTACATCAGAAGCTTATCAAAGGAACATTTCAGCGTGACTGAAGCCCCAGGTATAGCTAATGAGTTCATGTAACAGCATAACAGAATAAGAGAGTTGGAAGGGACCTTGAAAGTCTGCTAGTTCAACCCCCCTTGCTCAAGCAGGAGACCCTATACATTTCAAATAAATGGTTGTCCAATCCCTTCTTAAAAACTTCCATTTTGGAGCATCCACAACTTAATTACATTGATTGTTTTCACTGTCAGGAATTTTCTCCTTAATTATAGATTGGTTTCCCCTTTGATTAGTTTCCATCCATTATTTCTTGCCTTGCCTTCTGGGACTTTGGAAAATAGATTGACTCATCGTCTTTGTGGTAGCTCCTTAGGTGTTGGAACACTGCTGTTTATGTCACTCTTAGTGCTTCTTTTCATTAAACTAAATATACCCAATTCCTGCAACCATTCTCCATATGATCCTCTGTACTGTTAGTGCAACCACCAGTCAATTAGACTCTTGTCCTCCTGGCTGGTGAAAGGCTGCAGGACGGTAACCAGCAGATGGGTTCATGCAGTAAAAATTCTCATTGCAAGAGGAAACATTCCCAGAACATTTTAAGGACGCTCTGGCTTGTCCTTTCTTTAAAAAAACCAATCACTTGAACCAATCTGCTTGGACAATTTTTATAGTTTCCCATATTCTCTTTTTTTGGGGAAGGTGGTAGAAAACGTGCTTGCTTGACAGCTCTGGGGATCTTGGACAAAACAAATTTCCTGGATTCCTTTCAGTCAGGATTGGCTCTGGTACAGAGACAGTTTTGGTCACACTCATGGACAATCTCTGGCAGGGCTGGGATGGGAGTAGTGCAAACATTTCCTTTTTTTAAAATAGATTTTTAATTTTTGAATATAGTAATTCCATCTTAAATTGAACAGTGTGTCATCCGGGTACAAATACTTTGTAAAATAGTAATCAAAATTTACGGCAATATTCATTACATCAGTATTAATTCTACAATATTAAAAGAATAATATTCAACATATTAATCATAATATTTACTTCTCTCTCTCAACACATCTTCTTTATTTCACTAATCTTTTGTTTTCCTATTTCTAACTTCCATTTTTGTTATTTAACCATTGATAAAATAAATCCCAGGTCATATGGATGAAAGAATGAATGAATTCTTTATTGGCCAAGTATGATTAGACACAAGGAATTTGTCTTGGTGCATATGCTTTCAGGATACATAAAAAGGCCCAACTAGAAGCTTGAAAATATTCTATTACCCTGTGACCAGACAAAGCTGAGAAAGAAAGAACTGAGACTCTTTTTCAAGGACATTGCTATTTGATAAGATAGAGGGAAGAGCATGGGAGAGTATTATTGCATGTGCTCTTCTGGGTTTCTATCAACAGCTGGAGTCTGGTGTTGAAACTTAGGGGGGGAAAGGTGATAAGTTTTTGGAGAAGAGAGCTATAATAAGAGCCTTGGATAATTAAACAAAGTGCAGTGTGCTCTTTTTACTTTTTCGAAATTGTGCTATCCCTCCTCACCAGCTTTATTGCATTTCATTTTATCTTTTTCATTCCCTTGTAATAACTATTTGGGTTTTTGGCTTTGTTGGAGCTTGTCTTTGTTTTTCTTTTTTTCTTTGGAAGTCCAATCTCTACGTTTGCTTATTATTTTAAAGGGAAAGCTTTAGTATTAAAGTTTTTTTAAAAAAAGGGGGAATAGCCTTTTTTCCCCCTTTCCTGGTATTTTTGTTTTTTCATCTACCTTTCTGGTTTATTCTTATGCACTCTTTTCTATTTGAGACCTTTCAATTGGATTAAGGTGTTGAAGAACCTGAAGAATTTTTCCTTTTCCCTTTTTTTTCCCCAAGCCTTTTTCTTCATCTAACTACTGATTGGATTAAGGTATACAAGAACCTGAAGAAATTTTGTCTTTTCTTTTTTTTATCATTATTATTGGGCTTCTTTTTTCTACTATTTTTATTTTGAACTATAATTGGTTACTTCACAATTGGATTAAGGTTTAGAAGAACCTGAAGATTTTGAATTGCTTAAAATGAGTAGGAAATTAACAGCTCCTGGTTCTTCAACTTCCACTTCTTCCTCTCCACCATCTGGAGGATAACGTTCAATACAGACAATGTTAAAGCAAGAAAAAGAACAAGAAAAAGTGACTCTGCAGATGATTATGCAAGGAATTTAAAATATTCAAACAAGATCAGAGAATATTGAAAAGAGAATAGAGAACATTGATCAAAGAACAGAGAACATGGAACAAAGAACAGGGAAAACTGATGAAAAAGTGGAGAACATCCAACAAATGATGTTGAAGTATGATGAGAGATTCCAAAAAATTGAAGAAAAAGATAAACAAAGAGACAAGAAGATTGGAGATATTGATAATAGATTAACGGTGGTTGAACAAGATAAAAGTGGTATGTCGAGATGGGAGATGGATAGATCAGAATTCTATCTTAGATTCCAAAACGTAGAGGAAGAAAAAGGACAAAACTTAGCTGAGATAATGATAGAAATACTGGCTGAAGCTTTGGAAATAACTCAAGAGAAGATGATGGATGGAGTAGGTGAGGTTTATTGAGTTTTCACAAGATATGCGATAAGAAATAGCTTACCAAGAGAAGTTCATATTAGATTTACAAAGAAAGCCATTAAAATGCAAATATTGCAAGTGGCAAAAGAGAAAACATTGAAATACAAAGACAAGGAGATTGTGGTCTTGAAACAAATACCCAGAAGAGTGAGAGAGATGAGAAGAGAATATCGATTCCTGATTAAAATGCTACTTAAAAAAGAGGTGAATTATAGATGGCTGATTCCAGGTTTAATGTTCACATGGCAAGAACAGAGACATAGAATTGACTCAATTGAGAAAGTGGAATTATTTTATACAGAATTTTTTGGAGGGAAAGAGGAAGAGGCAGAAAAAGAGATCTCACTAATTGAATTCCAAGAGGACTGACAAATGGTGACTGAAAAAGAAGAAGGTGCAGTAGGTGGAAAGGTGGAAGCCAAAGAACAACATGAACTAAGATCTACGAGAGTTGCTAAACTACAAAATATAACCATGGAAGAGAAAAAATTGATTACAATTAATATAAATGGGCTTAACTCAGCCGTTAAAAGAAGGAAAACCTTTCATAAATTAGATAAATTAAAATTTGATATAATTTGTCTACAAGAAGTACATATTAAAAAACAACATGAACAATTGTTGATTCAGCCAAAATTAGGGAAAATATTCACTTTCTTGACACAATGTAAGAAAAGAGGAGTGGTTTTATATATTAAAGAGACCATCCCAGCGAAATTGATTTATACTGATGATGATGGAAGAATATTAATGGTGGAAATAATGGACAATAATACAAAAACACTCCTGGTTGCAATCTATGCCCCGAATGACAATCAAGAAGAATTCTATAAAAACTTACATATGAAAATAATTCAACTGGACTATGCTCATACAGTTATGATGGGAGATTTTAATGGAATTGTAGACAATAAATTGGACTATACAGCACAGAAAACAATAAAGCAAAATAGAAAGACTCCCACTAAATCTTTTTTTTTAAATGGTAGATGAAATAAACTTAAAAGATACATGGAGAGAAAGAAATGCTAAAACTAAACAATACACCTTCTACTCAAATAGACACCTATCATGGTCCAGAATAGAGATGATATGGATGTCAACAGAATTAATAACTAATATTCAAGAAATAAATATTGAAACAATTACTGGGGCAAATCACAATCCAATGACAATTAAATGGAAAGGACAAAAAGGAAGATCTAGATGGGCGTATTAACAGCAGCTAGGATTGTATTTGCTAAAAACTGGAAAAATGAGAAAATACCATCACAGGAGGAAATCATTAAGAAAATATTGGAATGTGCTGAAATGAGTAGATTGACATTTGAAATTAGAGAACAAGAGGATGAACTATTTTATGAAATTTGGGATCTTTTCTATCAATGGTTAGACAATAAAATACAGTCATGAAATATGTAGACTTTTAGAAAATAATAAATATATAAAGATGTACTTCTTTCTTATTATATCTGCAAAATGATTTTAGGATAGATTTGGGATGATAATATGAACTGTTATAAAATAAACTAAGTAAATTATGATTATCTTGTAAAACATGAATTAATAAAAGTATAGTCAAATGATTTATTAATAATGATACTAAGGTATTTAATTTTTGATTGAAAATATGGGATTATATGCAATGTAATTGTAATTGAAGACTACGAAATGGAAGCACAAAACAATTTGTAAACCAACCGGCACACTGCATGTACACATATGGAAGATAGCTTGATGTTTTTATGTTTTGTTTGTTTATGTTTGTTTTAAAAAACAATAAAAAATTAAAAAAGAAAAAGAAAAGATACAGCCATCAAGAATCATAAGGTACAACACTTAATGATAGTCATAAGATACAAATAAGCAATCAAATCATATTAGAAAACAGTCAATGTAAATTGCAAGGATACAAGCAACAAAGTTACAGCCATACAGTCACAAGTGGGAGGAGATGGATGATAGGAACAATTAGAAGATGAATAATAATGCAGACTTAGTAAATAATAGGACAGTTGAGGGAATTTGTTTAGCAGAGTGATGGCGTTCAGGGAAAAACTGTTCTTGCGTCTAGTTGTTCTGGTGTGCAGTGCTCTATAGCGTCATTTTGGGGGTAGGAGTTGAAACAGTTTATGTCCAGGATGTGAGGGGTCTGTAAATATTTTCATAGACCTCTTTTTGACTCGCGCAGTATACAGATCCTCAATGGAAGGCAAAGTTGGTAGTAATTGTTTTTTCTGCAGTCCTAATTATCTTCTGAAGTCTGTGTCTGTCTTGTTGGGTTGCAGAACCAAACCAGACAGTTATAGAGATGCAGATGACAGATTCAATAATTCCTCT